CGACCCCCACTTTTTCAGTCTTATTTCAATGCAAAAAACACCGTCTTATATTCGGGCCAATACGGTATTTATGGCCTACAGGTGTTTTTCATACTGAATTTACTACTGCTTTAAAGTAGGTTCCTGATTGGCTACTGCCGTGCATTCCATCTTTAACCCTTTCAGGGACAGCGGTTACTACAGCGGACAGCTTTTCATGTTATCAGGTTACAGGGAGTATGAAAGGGTTCATTAAGATTTGGGTCTCCGTCCCTACATGCGTCTAAAATTATTGCCTGTAGTACGTCCACCATCCACAACCGCAGAGGGGCACCGCAGGGGGCCCGTTTACTCTGTCTTAGAGTTCGACTTTTTCCATCTTGAAATGTCTGTATTGCAGCAAACCGCTAAAGCTGTGTTAGCTCGACAATCGGGGGCACCGCAGGGGGCCCGTTTACTCTGTCTTAAGAGTTCGACTTTTTCCATCTTGAAATGTCTGTATCGCAGCAAACCGCTAAAGCTGTGTTAGCTCGACAATCGTGAACTTGATTTGATGCAGTTACATCGCCTTGATTATTTTTAGCGACGACAGAGGTCGGGTCGCAGGTCCTCACCACTGCGGTAGCGTAGCTCCCATTGGTCATCTCGGGTGAGGTGGGCGTGTGGCGAAGGGAGGAAGGAGACATGCTCAGATCCACTGCAGGAGGCGTGGGGGTATCTGTTCGGTCGTGGGAGACGACCTGCACACCTAAGACACCCGCAGAAAAATCCACAAGTGAGACGAGTTCTACAGTGTGAGGGTTGTTCCGCTGCTTGCGACATCACCCACCTGTGTGCGGGGATGCCGGGGAGGCGGGATCGATGACCGCGGTACCATCGTCCGTCATGCGCAAATGGCGAGCCCTTTTGGGGATCGTCGGCGAGAGAGTCGGTGAACGCGACCCACGGTCCCATCCGTTGGTCCGCCGAGGGAGTTTCAGGTCCAGTGGCTCGTCCAGGGAAAGCATGACCACACCTGCACAAACATTGCGGACAAACAGGGGCCAAGAGGGAGGGTCCGGTAAAGGAGTCGGATGTTTTTCCCGTAAAATTGAGCATTCCAGTGTCAGACTGTGACCGATAATGATAAACACTTTTGATATTTGCCAGGTTAAATGTATCTGGAATTCCACTGTCCCGCTGGGGAAGTATTTCTCCCCAACAATGGTAAACTGACCACAATTGTAAACCGAAACACTGAGTAAGCAAAATAAAAATAAACACAGCGATCCAAGAAAAAAAAAACACAGCTCCCCATCCCCCCACCCCCCCACTCCCCATCTTGACCTTTACTCACAGACTCTTCCTGAGGAATGTCTACAATCCAATCCAGATGGTCAGCCTCACCGCCAAGCTCGACCACCCCACCCCTTGGCCAGGCACCCCCTGCCCAGCCCCGTGCACCCTGTCACATCAGCCCCACCAACCTCGCAGTGTGCACCATCAGACTCCACAGACCTTTTAGGCCCCACTGGTCAGGACCCCGCCCGCCCTGCAGGCTTTTAAGTCCAGCTGCATCAACTCCACCTCCTCCTTCCCCTAAACACACTGACCTCAAGACCCAGCCTGAGGGTTGGGGCCAGGCCACTTCATCGAGAGTTCCCCAATCATCATGAAAGCACATTGCTGCTCACGGAAGTTATTTCAACACTTCAAAAAACAATGGTGATCCTAAATAGCATATAATAGTGAGGATAAACGGTTCGGATAATCGATGGATGGGATACCTGCCACATTTTGTGACATTAAATCATTCCTGTAGTTCAGATCCAAATTCCCAAAACTTTTCTTGGTTTTGGAAATAAAATGAAAATTCTCACAAAAGTTGGAGATGCTTGCCAGGTTATAGATAAGGTTATGCAATCCGATGAAATTCATGTTCTCCAAGTCCAAATTTTGTCTGCATTTTTTGTTTTTCCGGCGCACTTAAAATGTTCATAAATTTTTGACTTTCCCTGTTCATGCTTTCTATAGAACAGCAGATAGCCGTATTTCTATATACAGTATGAACCCAATAAAAGCGGAACAGTACAAACATAGCACAGATAGGGTCATATTGTTATTGTCCAATAAAAGCCATTTTTATTTTATTTTTTTTAATCTTAAAAGACGTTTTGGGGACTATAATAGCACCAACATATGGAATAAACAATAACCAGACATTACATCCAAGATAGTGTTTTAACATTTATACAGTTCAAATGTACTTTTGTCATCATTCATTTCATTTAATTTTCATTGCACATGATTTCTTCTTCTTATATTCAATCGTAGTTAGCATATTAGTTTTTTAATCGTCCAAGAACAGATGACAGCAAAAAAAGAACTTAACATTTCTGGGATGAGGAGGCTAGTTACCGCTAGCTAATCTGGGAATATGTTTCCTGACATGTAATCGGAATTTGAAATGGGAAATTGTATTCGCAGCCCCAAATATGGTCTTACATTGAGTAGGATCCATCCTCAGTTTCAAAATACATACGAATCATCTTTAAGCATTTTCCGACTGAATTCAGTGGCTTATCCCTAATGTGCATCAAGTGTGTGGTGAAGCGCACACATGGTCATTGATTAAACATTAATTTTAACAACCTCCCCAATCCTCTTTCACACACACCCATGCGGCACCGCACTTGTGAATGGGGGGCTTTGAGAGCCACTGGCTGGGGGCCACATGAGAAAGGCCATGTGTCTGGGAGGTACGGAGCACGGGGGTCGCCAGGTTCGCTGGCCATCACTCTCAAGACACCCACAAACAGTGCAGGGCAGGGTTGAGATAAAAAGGAAAGATGCTGACTCATTAAACAAAACGCGGGTATTCGCTAAAGGGCCATTTCGTTTGGTACCCCCTGCAAATCCAACACAAGAGTGAGAGCAACCAGTGCGCCTTTACAAAGTTCCAAATGCAAAATTTTTGATGGCGCAATCGCTGTTGCCGTCCTAATCCTCGACGTGACAAGGGTGTGCTCAACCTTGCCCGCGCCGTAACTGCTTCCGCACGGCGAGCCCGGTGGCTTCTCACTGCGGCCAGGGAAGCAGAAAATCGCCTGTCATCCACTCAATGATTAAGCCCCTTACTCCGAGGTGCAGACCAGCGATCGGCTTAACCTTTTTCCAAACAAATCCCGTGCTCATCCTCCGTGGGCGGACAAACAGAAATGCTGCTTCCCTCCTTGCAAGCATTGTAATCCACGCTTTCTCAAACACGTCAGGTCCTTCATCTAAAAACTGAATGGAAACCTGACCTGAACTGCGTTCGGACCAATGCAATTAGTTGACCAAGCCATTGGTTGAATGAATCACTTCTCATGAGATGATTGTGACATCTACATACAGTGGCGCCATACAGCGGTGACCGGACTTCGGAGTTTTTGGGAAATGCAGTTGTAGACACGTCTTCAAAAAAAGAAGCTTAAGCTGTTTAATTCCTCTGCCAGTTGCAGACTGCGATCAAACTAACAAAACCTGTACAGTCCGAGTACTTCATATCACTTGCGGTCTTTTTATCCCCGCCTTGTCTCAACACCTCTTGGTGGAAGATGTGCTTTGCTTGGGATCAAGTATCACCCAAAAATTCAATAAGAAAGCAAAACGCACACTCAGCACACCAAGTTTCATGAGTTGCATGTCAATATTTTTGACTTGAAGGAAGCGTCTTCAGGGGCACCGGATTGTTTTCCATGTTCGCCCCATGGTGACTCAGCCACCACCGCCGGACATTCTGAAGACGTTGCACTGGTTGGGAAGTGACTCAAAGTATTTGTATCTCATTTGCTGCTGACCAGGGGAGGTTTATGACAAAGGGGGGGGGGGGAACACCGCCCTCCCTCGCAAGCGGACTTCCGTGCTCGACCGTGGGGTCGAGAGTTTCTCTGAAAGGCGGCATTGTCCCCTCGGCGGGGCCCTGGCGCTGTGGGGCAGAGTAAACACAGCGTGGAGCAGCCGGAGAGAGGACAGGGGCGATGGCCAGCGGGCAGGCCCGAGGGGCGGAGGGAGCAAAGACAGGATTCCATCAGTGCCTGGAAGGGGTGGAAGGCAAACCTTTGCGTGTGCCCACTTGATCCTGCGTCACCCTGCATTAACCGAGGCCCCGAGTGTCTTTAGGGCTTGGTAAAAAGCAGTCCCTCCAGGAATTGCACTGTCGAGACAGCAACATTCCAGCTCATTCAAACAATATCCACCGCTTCGAATTTGGGCCACTCACCGCAACTTTTCCAGGAGTTACATCAGTTACATAGCAGTCCCCCAGCAATTGTTCATTTAGTTTTTATTGTTTAGCTGGCCAATAAATGTTCCAACACACAAGCAAAATGAAATGAGACACGTATATTGAAACAAACTAACCTGCAGATCAAACTCAAGGCTCAGGGGCCAAATCTGGCCCGCCACATCATTTTAAGTGGCCCGCGGAAGCAAGTCAAATATGTCAACTTCCATGACGCTTTCTTAAAATGTCGACCAAAATTTTAAATTCTCATATGTAATAAATAAGAGGGATATTCTAAGCATTTCCTTGTTACCAAACCCCTCATGATAGTAACTTAAACAAGAGTTGAATCAACAGTTGGGAAGTTGACTTCTGTAGCCCTCGTGCCATGCAGGTACACTCCATGTACACCTGCATGAGTTGTGTCGCAAAAACAAATGCATGCCACAGGTTTAAAACCCATGCATGGCATGCATTTGTTTTTGCAACACAACTCATGCAGGTGTACATGGAGTGTACCTGCATGGCACAAGGGTTTTTAAATGGTTTCAGTCATAACCACCCTCCAAGGGAAACGCTAACTAAAATGTGGCCCGTGACAAAAATTTGACACCCCTGCGATGGTTCCCGATTGACCAGTGGGGATTGCGGTTGCCTCTCGTCTGGTGTCTTACCCCCAACTCTCAGCATTTAATCAAAGCGCAACTGATCCAAACGGTTTCAAATAAGCCCAATTTACAGAAGGAGACCATAACTCGGCCGCGTATTCCTGCATGGGTCTTCCAAAAACTGTATCTGCAAGTTCACAGAGAATTAAATGTTAAGGGCGGGGGAAATTGGCAAGATGAACCTTTAAAACAACCACTCTTCATAATTGCAGAACAGTGGTTGGGAAATTTGAGTCCCCCACACCTCCTTGTTTTTGGTGTGAAGATACAAGCACTGGCATTTGTGACTTGAACTTCTTCCATCTGCAGAGAGGAGTTTCAGCTAAAACAATTCCTTGATTTGCTCAGTGTGCGTCTTGAACCCTGTGCGATGTTGTGATGAAGTACGAATGACAAGCCATCTATCTGCCTCGTACTTTCCTCCTGCGAAACACCAGAGGATGACCGAGGAAATCACGTTTCATCTAAATCTGGTGCAACCACTGAAAGACTGGCTTGAGTTGGCTTTCAGCAACGTCTTAAAGTTGGACTTCGGCCACCGAGAAGCGAGACAGAAGAGGCTTGCTCACCTGTTACCGTTTGTATGTTGCATTGGTAAACAAATGTTGATGAGATGAGAAATGGACTTTTTAAAAATACAAGCGTGCGTCAGCCACTCATGTTTTTCTATTCAAATGCATGATTCCATTTGAAATCCTGCAAGGTCTGGCAAAGGCGTGAGAGAGAGAGAGACGGCCGATTAAGGTAGCACAAGGTTGCTCGTGGGGGGGCTTGTGGACCTTGGTGCTCCTGCGAGGCTATAAGCTCCCGTGGATCACTTCTTGACCCTGATCCCAACTACTGATCTTGAGCTCGATGAGATCTGCACGCAACAGGATCATGTTTCTGATCTGATGTACAAAGCAACCGCAGGCATCCTCAGGTGCGAGATTTGGTTGTGTGGCCCCCACCGAGCCAGGCTGTAATATAATCCCCCCCACCCCTGCTGTGACCCTGGGAGGTGATATCTGGAAGGATGGTCTCTTGCAAACAAGAAAGTATGCCCGACAAAACACACAAGTCTGCCATATTTGTTTGAAGGGGTCATTCGGGCTTTCTCCG